AATAGTAGAGTGGGTGCGTCTGTATTTATATGACAGGGTGTGTTTTGTGTGAGAGATCAGTGTGTCTATGGCCGTTAACGGGATCAACTCTTCAAAAAGACTGTCCCAGCACATATCTGCTCCGCACCCCTAACCCACAGGGCAGCTTTGTGTTTATGTGTATCAGTCAGATCCTATGCAAAACCCTGGTGTAGAATGTCTGAGTATCCAAGGTGATTTGCCTTTTGTCTCCAGCATGCAAGGATTTTATTTAATCCAAAATCAAATATCCCAGATTTGAATGTGAAATTGAGGTTTGGTTTTGTGCAAGCAGTTGCTCAAGTGACACATATCCTTGAGTACACCATGTTCTGTACTGCTATGGATGATATATGTTATTCTCCGGTCCTTTACCTATGCTGTCCGTGTGTGTGTGTCAGTAGTTCTCTCCTGCTGTGTGTATGTGTGTCACAGTGTGTGTTTAGCAGATGGCACTCTCCACACCACTGAACGTTTTAACAGAACGCCTCCCAGCACCCTTCACTTGAATCCACCTGGCTTTGCCGCCGTCAGCCAGAACACACTAGTGCAGACCCTTCACTTCGTTACCCACACACAAACACACAGACACACACACACACACACACACACACACACACACACAAACACACACACAGACACACACACTTCGCAGTCACACACACTCTCCTGCATCTGCAGCAAAAATAAGTTCTGACAGAAGCGGGCGGCCCATCTCAGTTTGGACATTTATTACAATGCAATATGTCAGTCATTCATTTTCCATATTCCTATTTTACAATTTACAAACCAGATAATAAGAAGTCCATAAATAGAATGAAATGCTTCATGTACCTGAATTCATTTTCAAACAATTACATTTACAAAGACTATACCTACAGTATATGCTCATCGTTGACTAGATAAAACTGCTAAAACCATTGTTAGTGTGTTCATCCTCAATAAAAAAGGCATCGAGAGCTTGGCACAATACATTCTATCACAAAACACTCTCCTCTCCTCCCCATCTTTCTGGCTTTGCATATCCAAAACTGGTCCTCAAAGATAAGCAAGCACGCGCAGGTGCACAAGCACACACACACAGAGCGTGATGCTTCAGAACTACACTTTCTCAGCTCGTCCTTTAAGTTTCTGTCAACTTTCAGACATGTTTCAGATAGAGCCCAAAGCTCCAGAGCAGCTAAAACATCTCTCCTCTACCAGCTGAAAATCTGACCACATTCTGTCATGGTTCAGATATGATAAACAGCACATTTACACAATGACAATTACAAAATAATGACTATCGTAGTCATCTGAAATGCCTTAGGCCATACTTGGTGGACATTCAACTCCTGGTTTTATTAATTGAACTCCGCTTCACTATAAACTTACAAGTCCTTGTTGATGAATGGATGTAGCACTTATTAGTACTTGTCAACAAAGTTCAATGGAGGGACTACTCCTTAGTGGTTATGGGAGTTGGAGTCATGATATTGTATTAGAGATGAATGAGTAGTGTGCTCCTGAAATGCATATGTGGCAAATTGGAGGCATATATTCTGTTTGTGTAGTGGAGATTAAAAAAACTGTTTATGTGAACAGAAAACATTGGCACCACTCTGAACTAGGGCTGGGTGATATCAAATTAATTTGAATTACTCTTTTTGCGTGATAATTCCAAATACCTGTATCGCAGAATCATTTATTTTATTTTTATTTTATTAACGTTTATGTCCGCTTGCTCTCATGTTGTCTTTTTTGTCTCGTCTCCTTCGCTCCTCTGTGCTGCTGTCACCTTCTCATTTACACCAGAGATCCGTATATAATGATGAGATGCTCATGTCTCCGCCCTAACAATGGGAATCGTTGTCCCAAAGACGGGAAGGCAGGCGACAAGCTTAGGTTCAAAATAAGCCCATAGAAACGCATTGGGCTTATTTTGGACAGATTTTGGCGAGAGTGAAACCTCTCGCTTCGCTTCTTCCTCTCTGTTTACACACGCACCAAGCCCACCACCTGCCACTCACAACAACAAAGATGAGAGATCAATTCTTCCTCTCTGACAAGCGGTTTCAACTCGCTATTTGCATTTGAGGTTTGGTGTGACAGAATCGGTCATTCGGACATCGAAACACATTAAGACATTATTTTACTGTAATAGATGAGGTTAACCTTTCTAATGATACCCTTTTTATGTCTTATCTCCTCAAATGTCGCGCAGAGCAGACACTCCTAAAATAGGAGTATCAATGAACATTGATTCTAGAAAATGTATGCGCAGCTTGTTGCGCGCGCATTGCGGTACGACGTAACGCTAGCAGCATTTTAGTCAGATTGTTATACTAGCTGTCTAGTGTGTGTTTTATAAATGTGCAGTTAGCATAAAGCACAATTATATAAGGAATTGGAAACGCCTTCTCATTCCGAGAAATAAGGTAGGCCACTTGATTGCAACATCTGAACAAAGTGGAAAGGCTAGCATGCTGTTTAAACAGTTGGGAGATGGACAGAAGGGTGTGTTCATAACAATTCAACTATTCTGCCTTGTAAACTAGCAAATATATCCAAGTTGGCTAAACTTGAAATATAAAGATTAGCTGGCTACTCACTAGCACGTGGGCTTGTGCTTTAGAGATTGTTTGAGACCTGTGTTAATTTTCTACAATGCCTTCTACAAGAAGTTAGTCATTATTAGTGAATATGCATTATGCATGGTTCTGGTTCCTTTTGTAAAAAAATTTGCATTTTCATAGACAGACCTGAAAGCTAGATCAGTGATTATTGCAAAAAATTAGGTACAACTATTTTGATAAAATAATAAAATGATTAGTGAAATGCAGTGTATTTGACCTTTAATTGTACCACAACGCTTATTTAGAGAAAACCTTTTAAACATCGATTTATTGTGAATTGCCCATAAATTTGAAAAAAATTGAGATATGATTTTTAGGCCATATCGCCCAGCCCTACTCTAAACGAACTACAGAAACATTTCGCACATTACTTAAAAGTCAGGATGACTGTGACAAACATAGTCGTGTCACAAATTCACAAAAAAATAAAATAATCAAGAGCATTTGATTTTTTTTTTTACACATACACGTATAGTGGGGAAAAAAAGTATTTAGTCAGCCACCAATTGTGCAAGTTCTCCCACTTAAAAAGATGAGAGAGGCCTGTAATTTTCATCATAGGTACACGTCAATTATGACAGACAAATTGAGAAAAAAAATCCATAAAATCACATTGTAGGATTTTTTATGAATTTATTTGCAAATTATGGTGGAAAATAAGTATTTGGTCACCTACAAACAAGCAAGATTTCTGGCTCTCACAGACCTGTAACTTCTTCTTTAAGAGGCTCCTCTGTCCTCCACTCGTTACCTGTATTAATGACACCTGTTTGAACTTGTTATCAGTATAAAAGACACCTGTCCACAACCTCAAACAGTCACACTCCAAACTCCACTATGGCCAAGACCAAAGAGCTGTCAAAGGACACCAGAAACAAAATTGTAGACCTGCACCAGGCTGGGAAGACTGAATCTGCGATAGGTAAGCAGCTTGGTTTGAAGAAATCAACTGTGGGAGCAATTATTAGGAAATGGAAGACATACAAGACCACTGATAATCTCCCTCGATCTGGGGCTCCACGCAAGATCTCACCCCGTGGGGTCAAAATGATCACAAGAACGGTGAGCAAAAATCCCAGAACCACACGGGGGGACCTAGTGAATGACCTGCAGAGAGCTGGGACCAAAGTAACAAAGCCTACCATCAGTAACACACTACGCCGCCAGGGACTCAAATCCTGCAGTGCCAGACGTGTCCCCCTGCTTAAGCCAGTACATGTCCAGGCCCGTCTGAAGTTTGCTAGAGTGCATTTGGATGATCCAGAAGAGGATTGGGAGAATGTCATATGGTCAGATGAAACCAAAATAGAACTTTTTGGTAAAAACTCAACTCGTCGTGTTTGGAGGACAAAGAATGCTGAGTTGCATCCAAAGAACACCATACCTACTGTGAAGCATGGGGGTGGAAACATCATGCTTTGGGGCTGTTTTTCTGCAAAGGGACCAGGACGACTGATCCGTGTAAAGGAAAGAATGAATGGGGCCATGTATCGTGAGATTTTGAGTGAAAACCTCCTTCCATCAGCAAGGGCATTGAAGATGAAACGTGGCTGGGTCTTTCAGCATGACAATGATCCCAAACACACTGCCCGGGCAACGAAGGAGTGGCTTCGTAAGAAGCATTTCAAGGTCCTGGAGTGGCCTAGCCAGTCTCCAGATCTCAACCCCATAGAAAATCTTTGGAGGGAGTTGAAAGTCCGTGTTGCCCAGCGACAGCCCCAAAACACCACTGCTCTAGAGGAGATCTGCATGGAGGAATGGGCCAAAATACCAGCAACAGTGTGTGAAAACCTTGTGAAGACTTACAGAAAACGTTTGACCTGTGTCATTGCCAACAAAGGGTATATAACAAAGTATTGAGAAACTTTTGTTATTGACCAAATACTTATTTTCCACCATAATTTGCAAATAAATTCATTAAAAATCCTACAATGTGATTTTCTGGATTTTTTTTTCTCATTTTGTCTGTCATAGTTGACGTGTACCTATGATGAAAATTACAGGCCTCTCTCATCTTTTTAAGTGGGAGAACTTGCACAATTGGTGGCTGACTAAATACTTTTTTTCCCCACTGTATGTACAAAAAGTAAACAGAACAAGGGCCGGAATGTTCCATTGGTTCCACTGAAACACACAGGGAACCTCTTCGGCAGCTTCTTCAGCTTCAGGTCAATCCTCAGGGCATAGTTCAAAGGTCAAAGGTTATAGGGTTTATAAAAGTGCTGCTTTTCTCTCCTCCATTCATATTTTCTGTTGTAGGGTTTGTTTGTTGACGTTATTCCTTATGAAAATCTCAATCTAAAGTGCATGGATGAGGTAAATGGAAAACAAATGTCTGTTTCTGTTTTTTATCCATTCACTGGCTCAGACGGGAACCATACTGTCCTGCATCTGTTCCTGTATTTGTTGCATGTGGGACAGCAATACCTGCTGCACACTGGCAAGGATCTGGTCCTGGTGTGATGGTGTGACGATTCCTATACTGGCCATGTCCCTGTAAACATATAACAACACACAGTTAGACACGTTGGGAGTTGAACAGAGCATGCACACGTACACACAGAAAAAGAGAGCGAGAGGGTGGGGGGGGGGGGGGGGGGAGACAGAGAGAGAGAGATACAGAGAGTGAGAAACAGATAGAGAGAGGGTGGGGGGGAGAGAGAAACAGAGAGAGAGAGAGAGAGAGAGAGACAGAGACAGACAGAGACAGAGACAGAGAGAGAGAGAGAGAGAGAGAGAGAGAGAGAGAGAGAGAGAGACAGAGAGACAGAGAGAGAAAGAGAGAGAGAGATAGAGAGAAACAGACTCACTGCTGTGTGAGGGTTAGCAGGCTGTCAGGACTGGTGTATCCAGCAGCAGTGAGGGTGTCTCTGTACATGTCCATCCCTATAGCCTGGAGCCAGTATTCTACTGACCACACTGACACAAACTCTGGACATACTACAGGCTCCAACAGAGTGGGAACAGGCCTGCACAGAGATATAAAGAAAGAGGATGAGTTATAGACAGTCCATGTTATCCTGAAAAAAACACTGAAAGTGCCTGCAATGAAAGACATGGTTTCCTCTGTGTGTGCACCTCTCTCCTCCTGTCCTCCTCAGTGTGGTGGTTGGGTTGCGGATTAGTTTATCCAGCATGTTGAGGATCTGCGTGAAGCTGGGTCTGTGTGTTCTGTCTCTCTGCCAGCAGTCTAACATCAGCTGGTGCAGACACACTGGACAGTCCATAGGCGGGGGCAGACGATAACCCTCATCTATCGCTTTTATCACCTAGAGAGAGGGGGAGAGAGGGATGAAGAGGGTAAGAAAGCATGTTTAACTAACTTTGTCTAACTGCTGAACTTTGTTTCTGTCTCACATTCAGGCGAATGTCCTGTTTTTGAGTTTTAACACACGCTTACATCCTGGTTACTCATGTCCCAATATGGCCGTTCTCCATATGACATCACCTCCCACATGACCACACCGTAGCTCCATGTGTCGGAGGCTGGAGTGAACTTCCTGTAGGCGATGGCCTCTGGAGCAGTCCATCTGATGGGGATCTTCCCCCCTGGAGAGTGGTATGTCCCAGTCACCTCCTGTAACACATGGGAAGAGAATGAGAAAATTAGAAATGAGGATCCACAGTCAAGCATTAAGGTGCTAAGGACCCACATTTCAAAGATGAGTGATCTTACAATCATTGAAACCTTAACTTATCTTGCATAATAAATCATTACTCCAGACATGTAATATGTTTAGGTTCTATGTTCTTTCCTGTGTGTTCTTACCCGTGTGGTGTAAGCTGCCTCAGGGTCGTCCTCCAGTTCTCGTGACAGGCCGAAATCAGACACCTTACACACCAGGTTGCTGTTGACCAGGATGTTGCGGGCGGCCAGGTCTCGGTGAACGTAGCTCATGTCAGACAGGTACTTCATGCCCGACGCGATGCCACGCAGCATGCCCACCAGCTGGATCACTGTGAACTGACCGTCGTGTTTCTAATGGAGAGAGACAATATAGACCTTAGAATAGAGTTTACAGTATAAACACAGAAATACACAGACTCTCTCTCGTTCCCCCTCTTACCCTGAGGAAGGTGTTGAGGGATCCATTCTCCATGTACTCTGTGATGATCATCACTGGGTTACCTGCACAGGAGACAAACAAGCAGCGATTAAGCCAGAGTGGTGTTCCACAAGGATCAGCTTTGGGTTCTCTGCGTTTTCTTTATAAATGAAGAAAGAACCTGTAAGTCTCTGCTTAGATTGGTCAAAGTAGCTGTCAATCACTCACATCGTGTGACCACACCCTCCAGTCTGATGATGTTTGGGTGGTCGAACTGTCCCATGATACTGGCCTCAGAGAGGAAGTCCCGCCTCTGTTTGTCGGTGTATCCTGCCTTCAGACTCTTTATGGCCACGTAGATCTCTCTCTTCCCCTGGAGTCGCAGACGACCACTACACACCTCCCCAAACTCACCTACAACACACACAGATACACACAGTATAAATAACTACACACCTCCCCAAACTCACCTACAACGCACGCACGCACGCACACACGCACGCACGCACGCACGCACGCACACACACACACACACACACGCACACACAGCATTTGTATCACACACACCTGTGCACCTTGATGATTAACTGTGTGTGTGTGTGTCAGGCTCCCTTACCGATGCCAATGACTTTCTCTATGTGTATGTTGGAGAAGTCAATCTCTTTGGCAAACTCATGGACAGCCTGGTCCGGGTCCTCATAGGTGAACGGATCCACGTATATCCTCACACCTTCAGATGGAGAGAGGGAGGGCGGGAGGGAGGGAGGGGAAGGGAGATGGTTTGAGAAAATGAATTGGAAGGGATGGAGGAATGCCCGCATGAGTATGCGCTCGGGCATGTTTGTTTGTGTGTGTGGTCTTACCTGGGTTTAAATGTTTCTCCTCCTCTAAGTCCTGCTTAGCTTTGCTGTATTGTCCCCTCCTGAAAGAAGAGAGGTAGAGGATGAAGTAGTTAGGGGAACAGAACACAGCTAGTCAACAGGAGGAGAAGAAAGAGAGGGAGATGGAGGAGAATAGTGACTAATGGGTTATACAGGAAGAAAGGTGTTATCTTACAGAACCTGTCTTTAACACTACCCATTGAGTCTTGAAGCGGTGTGTGCACGTGTGTGATGCCTTAGTCCTGAGAGCCACTCTCAGTAAAAAGCAGCCTCAAGGGAGAGGTGTGTGTGTGTGTGTGTGTGTGTGTGTGTGTGTGTGTGTGTGTGTGTGTGAGGACGCAAGGGGAAGCTGATACAGGGGCTGTGTTGTTGTGGACACTAATGATAAGTCAGGGACAAGGGGATAACCAGGTGAGCAATCAGGCCTTTAGGACACAATCTCCTTTAGGACACACTGCCTCCTTTAGGACACACTGCCTCCTTTAGGACACACTCTCCTTTAGGACACACTCTCCTTTAGGACACACTCTCCTTTAGGACACACTCTCCTTTAGGACACACTGCCTCCTTTAAGACACACTGCCTCCTTTAGGACACACTCTCCTTTAGGACACACTCTCCTTTAGGACACACTGTCTCCTTTAGGACACACTCTCCTTTAGGACACACTCTCCTTTAGGACACACTCTCCTTTAGGACACACTCTCCTTTAGGACACACACACCTTTAGGACACACTGTCTCCTTTAGGACACACTGCCTCCTTTAGGACACACTGCCTTATTTAGGACACACTGCCTCCTTTAGGACACACTCTCCTTTAGGACACACTCTCCTTTAGGACACACACACCTTTAGGACACACTATCCTTTAGGACACACTTTCTCCTTTAGGACACACTCTCTCTTTTAGGACACACTCTCCTTTAGGACACACACTCATTTAGGACACACTCTCCTTTAGGACACACTCTCCTTTAGGACACTCAGCCTCCTGTAGGCCACACTCTCTCCTTTAGGACACAATATCTCCTTTAGGACACACTCTCCTTTAGGACACACTGACTCCTTTAGGACACACTGTTTCCTCTCTAACTCCCCTCCATTGACCCAGGTGATACACACATGCACACACAAGAATGTGTGTTTACCTGTGGCTGTGTGTGTGTGTGTGTGTGTGTGTGTGTGTGTGTGTGTGTGTGTGTACCTGCGGCTGATGATGAAGACTGTGGAAGAGATGAGCAGTAGAACCACACCCCCGCTGATTGACAGCAGGAGAAGCGTGGAGTTAGCGGCATTACCAATCAGAGGCAAGGGATCTGACAGGGGGAGGATACAACATGTCACAAACCAGGACGTTTTCATTCACAACAGGTAAAAAATTTTTCTCAATATCTCTTGCTCTATAAAGAATAGAATAGTTAATAAAATAATAGAACATAGTGTTGTACCTGAGTTGGTGGAAAACTCAAAGGGGGCGCTGAACTCTCCGTATCCGGCGGCGGTGCGAGCGCGCACGTGAAATACGTACACAGTCAGTGGGCTCAGCCCAGTGATATCAGCACTACGGGATGCCGTCTTCATAATGCGGTAGGACCTCTCCTTCTGATCCTGATTGGACGAGAGGAAAAGAGGTGAGGGATGTGTCAATGTCAACTATATGAAGCGTTCCAATATAGAGTACAGCATACTAAAATACACCCCATTATAATTGGCAAGCGTAAAGAAAATGGGTAAGCGATGAGAACATGATTCTAAAATGTAACTTGAAGTTGCAGAACAATGTTTTCTGTGTGGGTCTGGAGGGAAATCCCTCTCCTAGCAAGGAAACACACAAACATATCACCACACCAAGTCACAAATCACTCCCACAGCCTGCTCATCTCTTATCTACATTGCCTCAAACTCTCTCTCTTTTTCTCTCCCAACTCCCAATATATTTTATCTCGTATTATCTCTCCCTCACTTTCTGCAGGTTAGCGTTTTTCGTCATGAATCGTGTTCTGGAGGCAGCTCTGCATAGTGGTCACTAGCTGGCACAGCCACAAAGTCACTAAATCAGATGTTAACCCTAAACCTAACCACACTGCTAATGCTAAAGCCTAACCCTAAACTTAAATTAAGACCAAAAAGGACATTTTTGTTTTCATGAATTTTTACAATATAGCCAATTTTGCAGCTGGCCTATCTAATGGGAAGTCACTAATTTCTGCCTCCAGGATAAGACTCATGACAATAAACGTCAACCTGCTCCATTTCTCCCTCTATCCTTTTCTGTGTCATAAAAAAGGAAAGCTTTGAAGATAGTTTATTGGTTATTTTATAGGTCTATTGATAACAGTTGAAGCAGTTGAAGCACGTGAACACTTATACACACACACAAACACACAGTTACAATAGGTTTCCATAGGATATCTGATTTCTGAACGGCGGTTCCCACGAGACACCTCACCTTCTCGTAGTACTTGACCTCGTACTCAAGGATGACCCCGTTGGGCCGGTCGGGCTGTTGCCATGCCAACGACACACCGTGCCTGGTGACATCACTGTTCTGGATGGACGTGACTGAGGAGGGAGCTACGCGAGAGAGAGTGGGAGAGACAGCGAGAGGAGAGAAAGAGGGGTACACAAGTTGAAGACAGCCCAACCATTTTTATTTTACCCCCAATTTCGATCTTGTCTCATCGCTGCAACTCCCCAACGGGCTCGGGAGGCGAAGGCTGAGTCATGCGTCCTCCGAAACATGACCCGCCAAACTGCGCTTCTTAACGCCCGCCCGCCAGCATGCCGCACCAATGTGTCGGAGGAAACACAGTTCAACTGACTACCGAGGTCAGCCTGCAGGCACCCGGCCCGCCACAAGGAGTCGCTAAAACGCGATGAGCCAAGTAAAGCCCCCCCCGGCCAAACCCTCCCCTAACCCGGACGACGCTGGGCCAATTGTGCGCCGCACTATGGGACTCCCGATCACTGCCGGTTGTGATACAGCCTGGGATCGAACCCAGGTCTGTGGTGACGCCTCTAGCACTGCAATGCAGACCACTGCGCCACTCGGGAGGCCTATGGCTTATACATTCTATTGAACGGTCTTGAATGGTTTACCAGAATAGCTAAGACACAAGTGCATAACAAGTGCATAGCAAAATGCTTCAAGCTACAGGCTTGACAGGTTTTCATCCACATCGTGAGTTCTGAAAGAACACACACACACACACACCTCATCTGACTCACACTCCCCGAACAAGCTAAAATGAAACACCTCGTAAAATGTTACAGTCCTCCTAAATGTAAAGAGAGGTTGTCAAACGAGCAGACCTTCTCCCAGAACACACACACGCATACACACACACAAACATGCATACACACAGAATGACTCAGAGCCACGCAAACACTCATGGGTTGTTTAGTTGACCCAGTTAGAGTAGGAGAGGCATTGTGTTACCACCACACACACACACCAGTGTTCATTTCGTCAACAATAACTATGACGAAAAATACTCGTCAATTACCTATTTTTCCTGACTAAAACTATGACGTAACGAGATGAGATGCCCTGGAAAAAAACAATAACTATTACAAATTACTTTTTCATTTTAGTCGACGAAAATGTGACGAGACGAGAATTCCATGTGAGACAATTGGATATTTAATTTGACACGAAGCTACTTTTATCAGTTTTGTCCAATCCTAAACATGCACGCAGAATATTTCATGGTTATGATGGGGAGAAAATCAGAGCTGTAAATTCTTTAACCTTTAGCCAAGGCTTTATTATTGTGGGGGCGATAGTATGGCATTGGTTGAAGCTCAAAAATGTGCTTGAAAAGTCACATAATAAGTTGCATGGACTCACTCTGTGTGCAGTAATAGTGGTTCTGAATGACTACCTCATCATGATTTTTGAATGACTACCTCATCTCTGTACCCCACACATACAATTATCTGTAAGGTCCCTCAGTCGAGCAGTGAATTTCAAACACAGATTCAACCACAAAGACCAGGGAGGTTTTCCAATGCCTCACAAAAAAGGGCACCTAAAAAATCAGACATTGAATATGCCTTTGAGCATGGTGAAGTTATTAATTACACTTTAGATGGTGTATCAATACACCCAGTCACTACAAAGATACAGGCGTCCTTCCTAACTCAGTTGCCAGAGAAGAAGGAAACCGCTCAGGGATTTCACCATGAGGCTAATGGTGACTTTAAAACAGTTACAGAGTTGAATGGCTGTGACAGGAGAAAACTTAGGATTGATCAACACCATTGTAGTTACTCCACAATACTAAGCTAAATGACAGAGTGAAAAGAAGGAAGCCTGTACATAATAAAAAATATTCCAAAACATGCATCCTGTTTGTAATAAGGCACTAAAGTAAAACTGCAAAGAAATTAACTTCATGTCCAGAATACAAAGCGTTACGTTTGGGGCAAATCCAAAACAACACATCACTGAGTACCACTCTTCATATTTTCAAGCATGGTGGTGGCTGCATCATGTTATGGGTATGCTTGTCATCGGCAAGGACTAGGGAGTTTTTTGGGATAAAAATAAATGGAATAGCAAAATCCTAGAGGAAAACCTGGTTTAGTCAGCAGGACAATAACCTAAAACACAAGGCCAAATATACATTGGAGTTGCTTACCAAGACGACATTCAATGTTCCTGAGTGGCCTAGTTACAGTTTTGACTTAAAAAGCTTGAAAATATATGGCAGACATGAAAATGGCTGTCTAGCAATGTTCAAAAACCAACTTGACAGAGCTTGAAGATTTTTGAAAAGAATCATGTGCAAATATTGTACAATCCAGGTGTGCAAAGCTCTTATCAAATCAAATCAAATGTATTGGTCACATACACATGGTTAGCAGATGTTATTGTGAGTGTAGCGAAATGCTTGTGCTTCTAGTTCTGACAGTGCAGTAATATCTAGCAAGTAATATCTAACAGTTCCACAACAAATATCTAATACACACAAATCTAAGTAAAGGAATGGAACAAGAATATATAAATATATGGATGAGCAATGTCATTGTCAGAGCGGCATAGGCTAAGATGCAATAGATAGTATAGAATACAGTATATACATACTGTATGAGACGAGTAATGCAAGATATGTATACATTATTAAAGTGGCATTATTAAAGTGACATTATTAAAGTGACTAGTGTTCCATATATTAAAGTGGCCAGTGATTTTCAAGTCTGTATGTAGGCAGCAGTGCCTCTGTGCTAGTGATGGCTGTTTAACAGTCTGATGGCCTTGAGATAGAAGCTGTTTTTCAGTCTCTCGGTCCCAGCTTTGATACACCTGTACTGACCTCGCCTTCTGGATGACAGCGGGGTGAACAGGCAGTGGCTTGGGTGGTAGTTGTCCTTGATGATCTTTTTGGCCTTCCTGTGACATCGGGTGCTGTAGGTGTCCTGGAGGGCAGGTAGTTTGCCCCCAGTGAAGCGTTGTGCAGACTGCACCACCCTCTGGAGAGCCCTGCGGTTGTGGGCAGTGCAGTTGCCGTACCAGGCGGTGATACAGCCCGACAGGATGCTCTCAATTGTGCATCTGTAAAAGTTTGTGAGGGTTTTAGGTGACAGGCCAAATTTCTTCAGCCTCCTGAGGTTGCGCATTCTTCACCACACTGTCTGTGTGGGTGGACCATTTCAGTTTGTCAGTGATATGTATGCAGAGGAACTTAAAACTTTCCACCTTCTCCACTGCTGTGGATAGGGGGGTACTCCCTCTGCTGTTTCCTGAAGTCCACGATCATCTCTTTTGTTTTGTAGAGACTTACCCAGAAAGACTTACAGCTGTAATCGCTGCCAAAGATGATTCTAATATGTATCGACTCAGGAATGTGAATAGTTATGTAAATTAGATATTTCTGTATTTCATTTTCAATACATTTGCAAACATTTCTAAAAACATGTTTTCACTTTGTCATTATGGGGTATTGTGTGTAGATGGGTGAGACAAAAAAAAACCTTTCTGAAAGCAATGTAGCTAGCTAACGTTACAGCCCTTACCTTATCCAGTGATTCAGTACACTCCCTCCTCTGTCAATACAATTTTCTTGTCAATATAATCCAAATTTGCACTGACTGATTAGTGTAAAGTTACTTTTCAATGTATTCCCGAAAACCTGAAGTCGCCATTCAATAAAAAAAGTGCGGGTGCACCCAGGTTAAACAACACCAACCTTTTGACCTTTGTGCAGTCAAAAGAAAACGCCATTTTTGCTAACTTGGTTAGCTATGTGACTGTTTTCAACACATCAACTGTTTTTAACCAGGCAAGAGAAATGGACGTTCAATCAGAACTGAGTGAATGAACAACAACAAAAGTCTCCTGTCATCACCAGACTCTCCATTTAAATAGTGTCAAGATAATGCGTTCATGACAGGGTTCGCAGCGTAAGCATTAACGTCACCGCCATGGGATCTGAAGGTCCTGGGTTCGGCTTTCGGAGGAGACATTTTGATTATTCTCTTTCGTGTATAGTTTTGACACCCCCTCCCAATCCCGACACATACGTCATGCTTATTTTCAATTATTAGGTGGCTCTTAAAAGAGCATTGTTGAGTGGCAATGGACAGGAACTGTGGTGTGTGTACTACTGTGCGTGTATTGCTACTACGGAGGAGAGAACGGTGGAGAAGTAGGCATTGGTCTGAAACTGAAAAAGAAAGGAAATTCACGAGCACCACAATGCCTACACCACCCATGCTCCACCATGGATTTCCATCACACAGCTTTGACCTACCACAGTAGCTACAGTGCCTTATTCCACATTTTGTTGTGTTACAGCCTGAGTTCAAAATTGATTAAAAAAAATCACCCATCTACACACAATACCACATAATGACAAAGTGAAAACATGTTTTTAGAAATGTTAGTACATTTATTGAAAATGAAATACAGAAAAATCTCATTTAAATAAGTATTCACACCCCTGAGTCAATACTTTGTAGAAGCACCTTTGGCTCTGGGTAAGTCTCTAAGAACGTTCCACATCTGGATTTTGTAAAATTGGCTCATTATTCTTTTCAAAATTCTTCAATCTCCGTCAAATTGGTTGTTGATTATTGCTAGACCTTTTTCAGGTATTGCCATAGATTTTCAAGTAGATTTAAGTCAAAACTGTAACTCAGCCACTCAGGAACATTCACTGTCTTCTTGGTAAGCAACTCCAGTGTAGATTTGGCCTTTATCTCCCAGTGTCTGATGGAAAGCAGACTGAACCAGGTTTGCTCTAGGATTTTGCCTTTGCTTAGCTCCATTCCGTTTCTTTTTTATCCTGAAAAACTCCCCAGTCCTTAACAATTACAAGCATTCCCATAACATGATGCAGCCACCACTATGCTTGAAAATATGTAGAGTGGTACTCAGTAATGTGTTGTGTTAGATTTGCCCCAAACATAACACTTTGTATTCAGAACAAAAAGTTAATTGCTTTGCCACATATTTTGCAGTATTACTTTAGTGTCTAGTTGCAAGCAGGACACATGTTTTGGAATATTGTTTTTCTGTACAGGCTTCCTTCTTTCCACTCTGTCAATTAGATTAGTATTGTGGAGTAA